GGATTCGCTATAGGTTCGCCCTATAACCTTAGATTTTAGGCGATCAACTTAGTCTTGTAGGTCCCTTAGGCGTTATAGTTTCTCGATAGTAGCCTATATAGCTATAAGGTTTAGGTTAAGGTCCGACGGGGTTATCTAGCTAGCCTAGAGGGTTTCGGTCTCCGCGACTGTTAGTTCGTCGAAGATACGAGAGGTATTCGGTACCTCTTCGGTAGAAGGAGTAGAGCGAGTCCTTAGTGCTATCTCTCCTAGGTAGTCGAAGAAGAAGAAATAGAATTATAAAGATAGTCTACTTGCGGGGTAGAAAGCCTATTAACTAGGTAGGAGAGCAAAGCACTAAGTCCGATTATAACAGAGACTGTTTCTTAGGGGGCCTTCTTCTATATCCCCCTACTGATCTTATATATAGTAAACCCTACCACGAGAGGGGTAACTACGTTGGCTTACATGAGCTATATGCGCATCGGCGGATGACTCTCCTCCGTGGAAACAGCGGTGAGAGGGCAGGGATAGGCCACCGAAGTGGTGCGCCATAGTTGATCTCTATGGCTGATCTCCCAGGGTGGCCTGATTCCTAAGGCCGAAAAGTGTGAATAGCCTTATGGTAGGAAATGTCATAATATATTAGAATTAGTTTCTTGGTTTATTTTAATAGGTAGATAAATTACCTAATCGGTTTTATACGAGAAGTCATCGTAGAGTAAGAGACTTCTTAGTATATTTACTATAGATTTTGTTGGAAATGCGTCTGGTGCATAAAACCGTAGAAGAAATCGTTCGTGTATACTAATCTTAGTGCCACGATTATGGAAGAGAGACGAATCAAGATAGATCACAATCGGCTGATCAGACAGAAGAATCAAGCAGTGGAAGGTTGATTCAGATGGTCTACTATGCCCGGTGATTCTACTTGAGATAGAAAAGATGTCAAACTTGTTCTTTTTAACTAGGAAACAGGGTGCAATTTATAACACAGGGAACATAGTGAATATTATATAAGGAAATCGAGAATATTCGAGGTCATTCTGGAGTGTTGCGTAGTCTCCTGCCTAGATAGGCAATGTTGATGCGATCGTTGAAGATCAATCTGATATATCAGAGAGCGGTAAACAAGATGGTGTTTCTTAGCAGGCGGGATAAGCAGGGTAAGCAGGCAGGTTCATGTAATATGATCCTCCAGGATCCACCAGAGTAGGAAGCTGACGTAAGATCTTATGCGCACGCCTACTTATATGTTGACAGATTTATTACTTAGATTTAAGTAGTCTCTTATTAGGTTTTGATTATTAAAGATTAGTAGGCTATACCTAATTAGCTATGCCTCTATTATAGGTATATTATAGTTAATTCGACTAATTAGTGTATAATAGATATCACCGTTAAGATTAATTAGATTATTAGCTAATAGGCTAGTAGGTAGTAGGTTGCTAGCCGAGGTTTCTTTAGCTTCTATAGGGTAATTAGTTATATAACTAGTAATATGGATTTCTTCCTTATTAGATTGCTTATTGAGTATTACTATAATCATCTTCTTCTATTAATCGATTTTTTGATATTTATTTTGATTAGTTTTAGGCCTAATTAGCTAGGGTTTCTAATTAGCTAGCCTACTAGAAGGATACAGATACTAGTAATTAGATACTATATAACTACGTATATAGTAATACGTGTAGTATCTTCCTGAATTAGATAATTTTTTCTAGGGTTTTTTACTAATTCGACGTTTTTGATTAGCTTAATAATTTAATTAGTGCTTTACCTAATATTTAGGCTTACGATTAGCCTAATATTTATATTGATAATTACTATAGCTATCAGCTATAAAGATTTGTTCGGTTGATTAAATATAACCGCGCGATTCGTTAATTAGATTAGCGAATAGCGATTTAATCGAATAGGAATTAGAATCTCTACGAAGAGATTAAATGATGTTTTGTATAATTAGTGTATAAGTTTGATCGAGATTATTTAAGACCTATACGAAGACGATTTGCTTAGGGAAATCGATTCCTAGGCTTACTAGTTCGATTAGTAGGCGTCTTATCCTAGTAAGATAGTTATATATACTATCGAAATCGCCTAATTAGCTATTGAATAGGCTCTTTAACACAAGGAATTCGGTAGTAAATCCTTTTAGCCGATATTAGGTAGCTAAAGTAACCTATACTTAGTAGGCCGATATAGTATCTCCTAGCTAAAAGAGTAGGCTATCTTTATATAATAGCTTAATTAATAATAGAGTATCTCGATTTATCTAATTAATAGTTTTCAATTTATTAGATAGGATAACTAGCTTATTTTAGCCTATCTTAGAGATAGCAGGGCTAGTAGATCTTCTAGGTCTACTAGATCTTCTTCCTAACTAAATCGTAGTGTTTCTATAATTAGGTAATCGTTAATTAGGTAGTAGAGTAATTACTTTTTATAAGACTAGTATTAATTAGGAATCTAGCCTTATTAAATAGCAGGAAGCTTTATATAATTATATTAGATTATATCAATTAGTCTCTCTTGATTAAGAATCGCCTTAATTCGGATAGACTAGGTAATATAATTTCCTTCTCCTTCAAGAGGATTTATGTTATATTTATTAATTATCTTGAGTTTAAAAGACTTCATTAAATTATTGAAGAATGATTGTTTTTGTCAAGAAAGTCGAGATTTCTTAGTGTTTCGTATAGAGAAGTAGACGCGACCGGTAAAAATCGAGTATAAATTTTTAAAAATAAGATGTCGGAGGAGCTTTTTGTTTCTCTTTAAGAGAGAGAAGTTTCTCTTAAAAGTAAGGGATTCTTTGTTGAAGATAGAAGATTAAAGAAGTAGTATAAGCCGAATTGAAGTAGGATTAATTCGGGCTTATAACCTATAAGCAAGCGATACTACGTAGGTTAAATAGAGAGGAAGTAAGATTAATTAATCTTCTTCCTTTGATTGAATAGGAAGGATAAGTTCAATTCGGCTTAGGATTATAAAGGTAAGAGAAAAGTAAGGTAGGACTAAAGCTTGGTTGATTGTATTGAATCTGCTTGTATGTATTGAACATGATTATTATTTTAGTAGAGAAGGTAGGGTATATTTATAACTAACTTGTCTCTTGTATGTGATCGTTCTAGATAATGCATGATGATCTCATGCAGACAGATCTAGATGCATAGTGATCTTATGCAGTAGCTGTTTTATCGGCGGTTGCTTGATTGTACGATGTTATTAACCGTAGTGATGATGTAGATCGTATACTGTTGTATACGTCTTACTTGATGTCATAAACCGTAGTGATGATGGTATAGCATAAAGCTTATAGAGATTCAGCCATCTTGTATAGGCCTTATGAATCCTGTATGGCGGTTTAGGCATCTTACCCTATATCTCATATCTTTTCTATATTTAAAAATTAAAAAGTGCTCTTTATATACTTTAGCTCTTTCCTATTAACAGACTATCCCTATAAAAGCTTACGATTCTAATACTTTCTATATTTATCGCTCCCCTAACGAACAAGATAACTACTCGTAATAACTACTATAAAGCTAACCCGATCTAATTACTCCTCCTCGAAGAGAAAATTAATACGCTAAAAATAATACCGTCGTAAAACAAGTTTAATAAGAAAGGTATATAAATATAGTAAGACATACGACGCAGATATATACGTAGGTATTCGTATCCGGGAGACGGGTTAGGTATATCTTTTGTCTATAGATGCTTCCGGATTTTAGGCTTTTCTTACTTCATAATTAGTATATTATAGAGTCTTCCGCTAGTAAAAGAAAACTAATTTATTAGGGCTCGTACTACCCAACGCTAAGATTAATTACAGGCCGAGATTTAGAGAAGACTAGGGAAGACACAACTATTATAAGCGCGCGATAAAGATTTCAAAACGCAAATACTACTAGTCAGGCTACCTATATATATATATCATTAGTCTCTATTTTCCCTATTATTTCTATAATATATCCTAGAAGACTATTGCGGCGTGATTTTGATCTCAAATATATAATACTAGAACGTACCTTAATAACAGCCGTATTGATTCATATTTTGTACTCGACGTTTCTAGAAGCTACGTTAGGAACGGCAAGGGTCCTTTCAGGATCACCATAGCTGTCTATCTACTTCGCCTCTTTCCAAATTACCACACGTAGATCTGTATCTCTTGAGAGAACCCTTCGTGAGATAGACCATAGTATCCCCTCCTTCCAAGCTATTCCAGGCAGACTTGCTACTCCGGATAGAGCATATCCTGAGACAGGCCACAGTTTTCCCTCCTTCCAAGCTATCCCAGGCAGATTTGCTACTCCGGATAGAATGCATCCTGAGTTATAGAAGAGGACAAGCATCTTCCAGGCCGGGTTTTTCTTGAGCAATTTTGTCTCGAATCCGAACTTCCAGCCCGTGATGGTAAGTTGTTTTATGATCTCCTTGACCCGCCGGATCATCTCTGAATCTCTCTAGACAGCGCATGGTATAGCCCAGTTCGTTGGCAATCTCAATCCAGACGTTAAACTGCCCTTCATCGCCGCGGAAGAAGACACTGGGCCGATCGTGAAGGCCCTCTTGCAAGAAAGTACTGGCAAAAATGTCATTGGCTATAGGGGGTGGTGTACCCTACGCGAAGTCTCCGAGGCATTAGGATCTGTGCACGAGGCAAACTGAAGTGCCATCGCTCACAGAACCTACGCCAAGAGGGGTTGACGTAGATCTCTGACACGGTATTTATATATGCAAAGCATTCTTAATCATGGTAGTCCTTGACTGTATCATCAGTTTTGAACAGGCTAATAGAAAATTTTGGACGGGTACGGTAGAACGGACTATCCCCGCATAGAAAATTCAAGAAGGCCGAGGAGATAATCACTAGCACCTAAAACAACATTCCTTACCCTCAATTAAAGCTGGTGTTAGATACCCCATAGATTATTATCCACTGCTTTGCATGCCTCATATTTCAATATTTTTGCCCATATTCTTCATCGCCCTATTCTCATTAAAACGATCCTTTATTCCGCATCAACAGAAACACCAATTAAATGCTCGGTCATATACACGAACGTGTCCAGGATCTGGGTCACGCCCCACGACGCGTTGGTCCAGTAGTAGCCGTCCGTCATCACTAACGAGTCGGTCAAGCCGCGGATATTCGAGTACAAGCTGTGGAAGATGGGCGCGAACGAGTACATCTCAGCTCGACGACGCGATGGACATGATCGGCACGCAGTCGTCCTTGGGCGTCGGCATCTTCGCCGTCTCGATCATGTGTGCCTACGAGAAACAGGGCGACACCAATGTCCCGCACTCCGCCAAGTACGAGTTCAGCATCAATTACCACAGCTTCATCCACTTCGAGACGACTGACTAGGACTAATGCTTACCCACTATTTAGACCGCACTTTTGACACTGTAGGATTTCAGCACAGGTGTGTAGTTTTCCGAATGGAGGTAAATCTTATGAGATCAACCCATCTCCTCGTCTTTCCCACAATCTGTCGACCTCAAGAAAAATGAGTTAACAAGCGTCAATCATAGCCCTGGAATCACCCCCAATCATTGACTATCTCGTTCCACCGTTGACTATCGTTCACTAATGCATAATTAAAGCCACAGGCAGGTATCTTATGTATAACGGATCATATGCTTCATCTTTTGACATACCAACTTCAACGCTCAGCTTCGCGGAACCGGTTATGTTCCGAAATAGTAGTGTTCGTGTGGGCCTGCGTTAGCGGCGACATACTCTCTACTAGAGCAGTCCATATATAACTAGCGGACAAGGTACCCCGCACAGTCGCGTTGTTCAACATCAAAGCCCTTGCATTTCTTAAGGGTACATTAGTCTATTTTAGGTTAAGAGTCCCGAATCTCTATTAGGCCCCACTGATCACCGCCTATAAGGCTGAGTAACGTTATTACTTTAGCTCTTTCCCCAACGTACATTAATATTCCAACGTGCTTTAGAGATAGGTCGGGTAGGAAAGTGAAGCTCAAATTAGGATAGCTCTGAATAGGCAGTATATCCCAACTATTCTGTACCTCGTAGTAGTTGTCCGTGTCAAAATAGGGCTCAGGGGACCGCAGGAAAAGGAGTCATAGAAACCTTGAGCCCTCAGATATTTATTGGAAACCACCATCAGTCAATACCAATCCCAGAGACACTCCACTCGATCCCCGGAGGGTATGTGGCTACCCCTGGGAACTGTACTAGAAGTTCCAGGAGCAACAAAGCTCACAATCATGTATCATACGGTGCGAAGGCAGGATCTAGACTGACTCAAAATGTGGTGAGCCTGAGATGGGAGCACATGTAGTGCGACGTCTTCTCTAAATCTCGGCCTGTAATCAATCTTGGCGTTGGGTAGTGGGAGCCCTAACAAGTTCTTTCACTAGCGGAAGACTCTGCAACATACTAATTGTGAAGTAAGAAAAGCCCAAAATCCGAAGCATCTGCGGACAAAAGGTGTACCTGACCCATCTCCCGGTATGCGAATGCACACGCATACATCTGCGTCGCACATCTTACTCTATTCATATGCCTTATAAACTTGTTTTGCGACGGCATTGTTTTTGGCGTATCAATTTTCTCTTTGAGGAGGAGTAATTAGATCGGGTTGGATTTATGGTAACCGTTACGAGTGGCCACCTTTTTCTTTCGGGGGCGCGATAAATGTGAAACGCAAGCTCTTGTTAACAGGAAAGAGCCAAAGTGTGCAAAAGGGCAGTTTTCAATTTTTGAACGTACAAAAGACCACGACTTTCCGGCAAGGAAAATCGTTGTCTTTTGCGGGTTAGGCAATACTTGGGCGCTAAGACGGCGGGTAGTTAGGGCTTCACGTGATATTAATACTATTCGGCCATGCCTCCGAAAATACGTGGGAGGAGAAAGCAACGCGGAAAAACGGCTATCCGTGCTTAAACTCGAGTCCTTAAACTAGACCTACAACACTATATACATGCTTTATCCTGCAAAAGGGTAGCATCCGATAATTTGATAAATCCCGTCATTTCTGCTCGGCAGGTGGGACAGCTCTCCATTCCAAGACCTCTCAAGCATAACCTGCCTAATATGTGCCCACATTGAATGACCACCCAGCGATCTAGCTATCTGTAGCAGATATTGCACTCTAAAACACGCTTTTCTCTTTGCTGGTAAAGTTCCTCTTGCGTCTTTTGTTGCTTCTCCCTCTCCTGGAGAAGTTTATCCCGAAGTATTCGATTTTTCTCTCGTAGCCGTTGGATTTCATAGCTGACTGCCTTTTGAAGCTCCTTAAAGGCGTTATCCTGGTCCATTATTAGTTAAGGAAGAAGAAGGTCTTGTAAGGAACTAGTACTAAAGTAGATGGCTCCTTCGTTTCTGTTCTTTTGCGATTGCGTAATAGTGTTGTATCCACCTCCTCATCGACTGCTTCACCGATCATGCTCTCAAAATCCCGGTAACTGTAATCACGGCGAGTGGCCCTCCGAGGTCGTGAGCTACATAGCTAGAGGCTTAGCAATTCCTCGTCATCGGCGATAATAATCGCGTTGGAGGGGTTTGCTATCGTTATCTTTGTCGCCACGCTTAGGGGAGGAAAGTCGAAGGAAGAGGAAAAGAGAATATCAGAGCACGCAACCAGCAGGGGGAAGGAGGCCCTTTATATTCCTGAGATCCAACGGTGACGGACTCAGCCCCGGGAAATAACTGGACATTGGTGCGATCGCAATCTTCTAAGCTGCATTGCACAATTGGACATCAAGCCGTGATAGCGACGAAGCTAGGCTATAGCGTTGCATGCGCTGCCCCGATGAGGCAGACAGTATATACCTATATTTATCCGCATCCCCCGGCTTGACCGCTGTTCAGGAGATCATGGCCTGCTTACTCTTGTCTTTGAAGTTCCTGCACCGGATTCGGGCAACGCTTGCGACTGCGCACGTGATGCACATCAAAAGCATATTTGGTGTAGCAAAGCCACTTCACACTAATTGCACTTGATTGGCTTTTCTTTATATGAATAGCGTCAAATGGCGCGTAACACACCCAACGTCATGATACATCTGGAAGCGAACATGGTCAGGGAGCCCCTTATTTGCAAAAGATTGAAAGCAAGCCTCTGGCTTCTCGGAATTCTCGAGGTATTCCTTAGTAGCACGCGACGGCTTGCCAGCGACAGAAATAGGTGGCTGGTATGAATCGCTCTTGTTTCGTCTCGGTTAGATTCATTACTGACACTGATTGACCTCAGTCGCGTTGTCTTTAAGAGGATCAAGTTCAATTTCGCATGGGCGTTGATTTATAATCTCATCGCCCTACCTGTGGCTGCTGGAGTTTTATATCCTGTGAAAGCCAGTTGTGGTCATATCAGACTCGACCCAGTCTGGGCAAGTTTAGCCATGGCTCTAAGCAGTGTGAGCGTTGTCTGCAGCAGTCTCATGCTTAAGAGCAGGCTACCAGGGATTGGATTTAAGCTGTCAAAAGATCGCCAATGCGATTAGAGTTGGAACTTGGCTATGTCGTAATCGATGTCGGTAGATTTGTGATACACCGCGATTGCCCGTCTACCGCTAAACTCCACCATCTCCCCAAGAGCAGATCTTCGTCTTCAAGCGAAAAACCACTCCATCCCTTGAATACTCGTCCCAGCACCACGTATCGATGTCTGCTCATCGCTGGGGGGTCACTACGGTGGGAAATCAGACACTCACGAGTTGTTTCCCGATTCTTTTCTTCAAAAAGCACTAAGCTAGGGTTGGTTACCCTCCCTACTTAGCTATACTAGTGATGCGAGCTGTACAAACTACAGCCTAAAGCGAGACAAGTTGTGAGTAACACATATCACGACTAAAGTTTGAAATAAATCATATTTCGGAGGTGTTGTAGCACAAATCAAGCAATCAGAAGAAGACAGTCGAAGAGGACAAGCTCAGGGAACAGATCCAAGAAATGAAAAGTGAAAGTAATATCAAAGAGAGCGAAAACACGCCAAACAATTTCCAAACACACACAGCGAATGAGTGGCGTTTCGGAGAAACGGCTAGTGTGTGGGCTCACAGTGTTCTCTTGCGAAGGGCTCGGGGGCGGTATATGGAGTAGTATGCCTTTTCACTCATTTTTCGATGTACTGTAGGACACACTGCTGGCCTCGACTGATCCTGCTATTTATGCTAAACTAAATTAGCTTTGGTCATTTATTCGTATTCGTAGCGAACGAACAATGCAGTGTTCACACGTGCAAGTGCCTGGTTCACAATTGCAGACACCACTTGTAGTGCATCCACAGTCAGCACCCATGATGGTTGATAATTAGAGGTAATTATAGGTAATGATAAATATTTGGAATACCGGTGTCGCGCAAAGAAAGTAGTAAGGAGAGTTAACTCGGAATATTTATACCTATCCACACTACGAATGAATCATGACGTAATCGTGCGGGGTGGTACATTGATGTTCCATTAGTTTTTAACGCACTCGCAGACCCACCCGACGCCCTCACCGCCTACTATATATAGCAAGGGAGGTGTGTACTCCGTACGGAGGTACGCTTTGCACTATGGCTGTTTGCAGACTTACAGTCGGTTGGTTCGTTGGTTGGACCGGTACACACTCACACACTCTCTTCTTGCCCCACCGCCAAGACCTTAGCGCAGATCATCTATTGAGCGGGCCGCATCAACTTGAGGGGCTCGGTAAAATGCGCCGTGTACGTTACAGTAAAATCTCAGTTAATATTACATTACGCGTCTGGAAACAAAGCATATGGAATTCCATGGAATCCTATGGTGAATATTCGCAAATCATACGGAAGACGTTGATTCGTTTGCATAGTTTTCTTTAATAAATTAACCACTCTTTCTGATGGTTCCGGTAGTACTCATTCTTCCATATGCATACTAGTCTATACCAATTCAGCTCGCTTTGACAAGATTATATGGTAGATTATCCCCTCGTCCGTCCGGGAAGGACAATTAGCGCATTTCAATTAGCGTATTATATTATCCAATAGGTTATCGGACTAAAATATTCGATGTGTTATTGGATATAGGGCTCCACTATCTACTAAGTCATCAACGCGTGTTTTTCTACACGCGTAACCCCCTACCAACCTGCCTACCAACCTGCCTACCAACCTGCCTACCAACCTGCCAATAAATCTGCCATGGCTCCAAAGAAATCTACTAAGGCTACACGGAAGCGTACGCTTGACGAGATTACTGCCGAATTACCTACTAAGGAAGAACTCTCTCGGCAGCTAAAGCCCTTGATCCCTTCCTCCGAACCTCTACGGCTGCACCTACCTACTAGCATTGACCTAGATAGCCTATACGCGATCTTTACACTCTTTATTAGCGAAGAGATTTTCGATCGTATCAGCCAATCTACTAATGTATACGCGCAGCGAAATCTAGCGAAGCTAGCTACCACTGCTACTACTACTACTACTCGCGCGTGGAAGGATACTACAACTGCAGAGATCAAGGTCTTCTTTGGTATTCTTATTTATATGGGTGTTCACCCTGAGCTACGCATTGATCTCTACTAGGCGCAAGATAGACGAGAAGGACCACTATATACTCCTCCGCTTTATATGACCCTTAAGCGCTTTGAACAGATTAAGCGCTATCTTCATATATCTTACCCTGACGAAGATGAGATGCGATCGGAGAAGGATAAGAAGCAGTGGTAGTATAAGCTAGACCCTCTGGCTTTCTTCTTTAAAGAGGCTGCTGAAAAGCACTACCAACCAGGTTCTAATATCTCTATCGATGAGACTATGGTTCGCTGCTTTGGCCGTACGAAGCATACTGTCAAGATGCCTAATAAGCCAATTCAACAAGGTTATAAGATCTTTGCCCTCGCAGAACATGGCTATATTTGGACATTTATATGGAGTAGCCGCCTATAGGGGATCGCGGAGATGTTTAAATATGAAGGCCTTAGCCCTACGGCAAGAATGGTGCTTAAGATGGTCAAGAAGCTTCCTGGCCTAGCTAGTTCGATGGCTAATCTTCCTGCTACCCCTATAAGCAATTCGCATACTAATCTTATGGCCAATTCGATGGCTAATCTTCCTGCTACCCCTATAAGCAATTCGCATACCAATCTCATGGCCAATTCGATGGCTAATCTTCCTGCTACCCCTATAAGCAATTCGCATACCAATCTTATGGCCAATTCGATGGCTAATCTTCCTGCTACCCCTATAAGCAATTCGCATACTAATCTCATGGCTAATTCGATGGCTAATCTTCCTGCTACCCCTATGAGCAATTCGCATACCAATCTTATAGCTAATTCGATGGCTAATCTTCCTACTACCCCTATGAATAATTCGCATACCAACCTCATGGCCAATTCGCCGGCCAATTCGTATACCCTAGCACCCTATATTGTCTACTTAGATAACTACTTTACCTCGGTAGCCCTTTTCAAAGAGCTTCGAGATATTCAATGTGGTGCATGTGGTACTACCCGCCCTCAAAATAGGATACCTTCTTAGCTCGTTGAGCTAAAGGATCACATTAAGACGATCCTATAGGGTATACTCTATGCAGCAGAGGCTGAAGGGGTTCTATGTCTTGCTTGGCAGGACAATAATATAGTCCTTCTACTATCTACTATCTACTCGCTAGAGATATACACTCCTACTAAGCAGAAGCGGCCATCACCAACCTCTACGAATGCAGCTATCTCGCGTATACCTTTTAGTGATGAGATAACTAAGGAGCTCGAGATTCCTACTGCTATCAATGACTACAATCACTATATAGGTGGTGTGGATATTGCAAATCAGTATAGGGCTTCTTATGAAATTCATCGAAAGTGCGAGCGTGTCTGGTTCCCTCTGCTTTTCTTCTTTATTGATGCTGCAATTATTAATGCTTACCGCATTTAATATATCTTTAAGAAGCAACAGGGGGCTAGTGAGCTATCTAGTTAGCTAGATTTTCGGCGAAAGCTCTACCAGCAGCTCTTTGCCTTTGCACCTTCGCCAGTACCAAGGCCAGTACCTGGTATAAACCACCAGCGAATTCAATTCGATAGGCGAAAAGCTTGTGTGTGGTGTCAGTATAAGAGAGAAAAGGGCAAAAGAGGCCAACAGGCCAATCGGTCAAGATCTGGTTGTTTAGAATGCGGCAGTGTAAGCCTATGTGTAAAAGGGCAGTGTTGGGACGAATTTCATAGAATTAGCTAGTCGATTAGGCCTGATTAATTACCATACTGAACTGTGACCGCGATTAGCCAATTAGTACGCGTTATTCATATACGCTAGTATAGCCTAGTAAAATACGCTAATTGTCCTTCCCGGACGGACGAGGGGATATGGTACATTGTATGGTAGATTGTGTGGGACAAAGATCGAGATTCTTGAGGGCACATTGGTCCATTTTGGGTTAGCAGTCCCGAATCTCCACTGGGCCCCACTGCTCACCGCCAATAAGGCTGAGTGACGTCATTGCTTTGGCTGTTTCCCCAACGTACGTTGATATTCCAACGTGCTTTAGAGATGGGTTGGGTAGGAAAGTGAAGCTCAAATTAGCATCGCTCTGAATAGACAGCATATCCTAACTGTCTGTACCTCGTAGCAGTTGTTCTTGTCAAAATGGGGCCCAGGGGGCCGCAGGAAAAGGAGACATAGAAACCGTGAACCCGCGGATGTTTATTAGAAACCCTCATCAATCAATACCAATCCCAGAGACACTCCACTCGCTCCCCGGAGGGTATGTGGCTGCCCCGTGGGAACTGTACTGGAGGTTCCAGCAGCAACATAGCTCCTAGAGTCGACTTACACGTTCTTGGAACTGGTAGAGCTCGCGCTGTGTAAGCTCATGTACTCCGTATATCCATCACATCAATCCCATGTACGCTCCAGGCAACCCCAGAGGTACTTGAGGACCCAGGGACCCGCTTTTGACCTCTAAGAATGGCTTGAGGTTCTAGGAGCAGTAGAGTTACCGGGACTGCCCAACACGTTTCTGAACTCGATGTGGCCGTGAAAGAAAGGAGTGGATCCGTACATGAAGCAGCCCAAAAGTTTCTTCATCCATATTTTGAAGGAATTCTGTTCCAAGGATCGACGGAAGTGTTTCTGGGAACTTTACCTAGTGTTCCAGGATCAATATACCTCCCAGGATGGGTGAGGCAGGAGCAAAGGGTCCTCATCATCAACGGGGAAGATATCACATGTTGGAACGAGTCTACCGCAAGAACCACATGTCGATCTTTTCGAAGCATTTGAGGTCATTTCCTCATACCTGGAAGCCGATTTTCGTATATCAGAGGGCGTTATTTCTGGTGGGAAGGATTGAGTAGCGGCCGCATGACGCTCATATTCAGCACGCAAAACGCTAACAGCTTTATTTAAAGCGTCATCAGGAGGCTGAGCGTCTATGACTCCCTGCCTCTTGGTATGGGGTCGTGGAAGCGGGCGAAGTCGGCGGGTCACATTAGCAGCCGATGAAGCGAGCCTAGGTAATCCGCTTCTCACGGCATCAGAGGGGTATAGAGAGACCCCTTCAGTGGCAGTAGTTGGGATCAAGCGGCTGTGGTATTTCTGGCGACAGCTTAGGCGACACCTATCGCATGTTTTATACCGCGGAGATTGCCACGGATGATAGCATTGAGAGCAGATCTCTGGGTGAGAAGGCAGGACTAGATCCATAGAGAGTGCTATAGACTGTATAGAAGTGGCGCCTGGCTCCTCAACAGCCGCAGGACGATGACGGCGCCAGTGGCGGCGGCATTATAGTCGGCAGGCCTCGCACGTTTTATATAGGAGCGACTGCTTAGGCCGTTTACATGAGGAGCATTGCAAGCTATGCGGCGAAGCTAAGGCCATAGGAGAGGAGCAAGTCGGGAACGCAAGGAGAGAAATGTATAGGAAGGCAAAGGAAAACACCGTGTACAGCGGGCGGGGCATCAGAGCATTTGAATATAAAGATGAATAGAGATAGATAAGACATAGCGGTGAACAACGGAGACGGGAATTATGTATAGAGAATGGATAATAGAAGCAGGAATATATTTCGATATGGAAATTCACAAAAGGCAGTAGCGAACGTGGAAGGTCCAAAATACTATGGAGGGTTGCACGACATAATATACAAGGATGAACCCTGCAGAGCACGCGAGCCGGCAGTAGGGCAGGAGAGCGAAGACGAACGGAGACAACCCGAACACGAGAAGAAAGGAACGTGACCTGGGATCCAACCAAGCTCCAATGAGAGAGAGGCTTGGCGGAGAGGAGGGTGTGTGTTTCTCGCTGTGTTTTTGCTGTGTCCATGTCGGCGTCGCGCATCCGTGGGGTTAGTAACCCCTTTCACTCCGTTCCTCCGTTTCAGGGCATACATTCTGATTGATCCCTGTGGCTGTTCCAAACTTCCTAAGCGGTGAACTTTGAGCCTCACCTGATAAGGCCTGTCGTGGCCAGATTGCCGTTCGCGGTGTTAGGCTGCCGTCGTGGCGCGGCTAGAACAAGTTCCCAGATAATGCGGCCAACAGTTGTCCGCGGTTGGCTGCATCACTTCTATGCAAAGCCTGACGTCGTTGCCATCTCCCCATTTTGAGCATTACCTTAAAAGCTTTGACCAGAGAGGTCGCAATCTAGGCTTAGGGAGCGGCTCAAATATCTTCCTTCTGCACTCCCGGAAGACTTCAGGCCTCAATTCCCCCCCCCCCCCCCCTCCTTTCCACCCAAACGACTGATCACACAAATGGCATCTAACGGGCATATGGATCAGCATGCCCACGAAGGCAATCATAGGATGGAACTGGCAATGCCCACGGTTTTTGTAGCGAGCACAAAATTGACGCTGCTTTTTTCTTGGTGGTCAACAGACACTGTCTTCTCATTCTTGGTGACCCTCTTAGTTTTATTCAGCCTGACCGTGCTGAATCAGTACCTGGGCGCGTTGAAGTTTCAGCTTGACCAACAAAAATCCCGTCGCGAAAGCCACGAGGATGTGCCCCATTTCGATCCACTACCCTCGTGCTGGCCTCGAAATCGTGCCTCCAAGGACCGTGTCAGTCCCCTTCCCATGAATATCGAATTCGATGATGACAGCACCACCCACACCGATGCCGGCCCCACGATCCCATCGTCAGGATTCCGATATCGACTGTGCCCGGATGATACGGACAGACCCAACCAGATCACCTCTGATCTGAAACGGTGGAGCGCCGCTAAGCGCCGGAGTTGGCGACAAGGCTGTATGCTCGCTTTATTTGAAGGAGTGCGCGCCTTCCTTAGTTATACTTTGTGAGTCTACGTAGTTTCTACGCAGGGCGTTCTTTGTGCTGACATCCAATCATACAGAATGTTGACCGTCATGACTTTCAATATCAGAATTCTGTGTGCGATTATTTGGGGCATCGTTGTAGGCGAACTGCTTTGGGGCCACTATTCACCGCCATCGCGTGGTTTGCAGCACGGCGCGTGTCATGGTGGTTAGAGTTCTGTTCCAGTCCTTCAAGCTGCCACCGAGGCTCCAGCGGTAGGGCTCACAGCTTATTTAAGCGGTCGGTAGTGGAACCCCCCACTCCCCACACACACTTCCACTTCGGGAAAGGGCCAAGGGAGCATGTACGCTTAGGAGGAACCAGAATCGAGATAGTACCAGGTTGTCACGAAAGTACCATAACACCTTAAGGGTAACAAGCTATAAGGAAGGTTACATTGGAATATAGGAGCCTGCTGGTAATACTTCATGTAGCTGCGGGCGATAAACGCCAAACCGTCATACGGTCATACCTGCCCAGAAGCTGGCTGATAAAGACCCAACGTGGACCGCTGAGGCCCGCTCCGCGAGATATGCGGGAACTAAAATCGAGCGATCGGGGATTTCCACTAATAGTATTTGGTTTGCTCAAGGATGGTCCGCTCTGCTCGATAATTACGTCCGTAACTATACGGGCACAAAACCGTTGTTTGAAAGTGTACAGGTCCAATTACCACGCGAACTGCGCCTGACTCGAGAATTATTTATTGGCGCGAGATTGAGCGAATCCAGGCTCCCGAAATTCGGAAAGGAACGACGCAAGGAAACGATCATTGCAAGGAAGTTACTTCCAGATGGTGTTGGGTCTTACCCGCACAAGCCTAGCGTTTGCGCAAATTTGAGTAAGTTGCTTCAACGCCCAGCCAAAGAAAGTAATGAGACCTGCGACGACTGGTATGGAAAACAGTAATTCGCGAGGCCCACTTAGCTGTCAGCCTCTCGAGTCTGGCCCCTGGATCTGGCCCAAGATGGACTAATCAGAAAGAAATGAAATTCCTAGCCCTCGTTACCTCCATGTACTTATAAACAGCTGGTCAAGCTGGCCTGGTCGCTCTCTTTTCGCCTCCATGCTTTCACCCTCGAGCCTCCAACATCCTCGAGACTGCCGCAACTAGACGAACATAATGGCGTCTCACAATCGAGACAAAGCCGAGGAAGGTGTAGGCGTCCACACAGCCACGCTGGAAGCGCAGGCAAATGCAGACGACCAGAGCTTAGAGCAGAGGAATGAGAGAGAAGCGCTTGAGCACCCCGATGAGATTACACATTACGCACAGGCTGGAATTCAGAAAGCCGAAGCTACAGCCCTGGTATGGTCCAGAAAAGCGCTCTATGGCACATATGCCTGGTATGTCTCCCGAAGTAATGAAATAGGTTCATCACATGAATCAGTTCAGTTATTTACTTTGTCCATAATCCTTGGGCGAGACTAACAGAGGATACCCCTTCCCAGGATCTGGTTCTGCTTCTTCGTGCTATCTATGCAATCATCGCTTAGCAACAACATGATCTACTACGCATACGCGAACTTCGCTTCAGCGCCACAAATATCCCAAGCTTATATCGTGTCGACCATCGTGGGGGGAGTTCTTCAACTTCCAATTGCGAAGACTCTGAATCTTTGGGGCCGCGCCGAGGGTTTCCTGACATTCTTGGCGGTTTTCATCCTTGGATTGATCATAATCGCCTCTTGTGATGGTCCCAACGGGTTTGCTGCTGGCTACACCTTATACTGGATCGGCTATTCGGCCCTAAATTTCATTCTCTCCGTGTTTGTCGCCGACGCATCCGGATTGAGAAATCGAGCCTTTGTTTATGCCTTTATCGGTACACCAACGATCTGCACGGCCTTTGTTGGGCCGCTCGTTGCCCAGGCATTCGTCGCTCACTCGACTTGGCGCTGGGCTTACGGCTGTTTCGCAATTATTACCTTTATTTTTTTCGTGCCACTCGCCGTCATTTTCAAATTCTATCAACACAAGGCCGAGAAGCTGGGACTTTTCATGCGCACATCAAGTGACCGAACCACGACCCAGTCAATCATCCACTACATCCATGATTTTGACGTCGTTGGTGCTTTCATTCTCATGGCTGCATTTATTCTGTTCCTCCTGCCCTTCAGTCTCCAAACTTACGGCTTTACCGGATACTCCTCAGCAACGTTCATCGCTATGGTAGTCATTGGACTCTTGCTCTTCCCGCTCTTTGCTCTCTGGGAGGCCTACTTCGCCAGAACCCCTTTCATCAGATGGGAGCTGTTCAAAAAGCGCACAGTTCTTGGAGCTTGTATCCTGGCGGCTATTATCTTCTTCAATTACTACACGTGGGATCAATACTTTTACTATTATGTGCAAGTGGTTTACAACCTCGACACATCCAAGACGGGATACATGACACAGATCTACGGCGTTGGATCTACTATCTGGGCGGTCTTGTTCGGTATTTGGATTCGCAAAACCAAATATTTCAAGAATGTTTGTCTCTTCTTCGGTGCACCACTGCTGTTACTTGGTGCAGCTCTTATGATCCACTTCCGAGGCTCGCAAAGTGACATTGGATACCTGGTTATGTGTCAAATCTTCATTGCCTTTGGGGGTGGAACCCTTGTGATCGGAGATGAAATGGCTGTCATGGCTGCCGCTGACCGTGATGGCGTTCCGTTGATGATTGCCATGATTAGCTTGTCTTCGAGTGTTGGCGGATCCATTGGATACGCTGTTGCAAGCGCCATTTATGCCAATACGTTCCCTCATGCACTACTCAGGGCCCTTCCAGAGTCGACCAAGGCGGATTACGCCACGATCTACGCCGGTGGATCAGCTGCCCAACTGATGTATCCTCCAGGGAGTGAGACAAGAAATGCGATCAACTATGCATGGGCTTATAGCCAGAAGTACGAGTGCATCACGGCAGCTTGTCTCGTTGTTCTTGCTTTCCCGGCGATTGCCATATGGAAGAACTACAATGTCGACAGAAAGCAAGTAAAGGGTACCGTCATCTAACACGATACTTGGGGGTTGTTGCGTGATTGGGAATGCCGTGGAGCGAGTTAAAGAAACAAAACATTATGACAACTCGACAGAGACCCTCAAGTCATTTGGAAAGTACAAGACGGGATCGTTTATAGTACGGATTCATCTTTAATTCGGTTACATGATACAGTCAGCTTCTCAGAATGCATGCGCATTACTTTCCGAATGAATAATATTGTGTCTATGAAGACAACTTGAAAGCTATCACATTCATCGGGAGTGAGAGATATTTAGATCACCCGGGCACGATGTAACCTATAGTCTTCAATGTTCCTCCTGGGTCAAAGTTTGCACCGTGAAAAATGGATCCATTTCCTCCTGAGACTTACTGTAGATTGCTAGAAACCCATAGGTTATGAGAATGGAGATGAAGAGCACTAACTTGAAAGTGAGAGTTGGAAGTGAGATGACAATTTAATTTCGCTACTGTAGTTGGATATGTCCGTGCACTGCACCCGGAAAGTATCCTTCAACCCGCCAACTCATATCACATGCGTGCCTTCGTGTCTGTTCTTTCTCAATTGAGCACTGTCAGCCGAAAAATCCGCCCCTGCCGAGGTCAGCGCCGGTTCTAATAGCAGAACTATACTAGTATTATCATTTATAGTTGCTCGTTTCTCGTCTTGTTGAGATCGGCCCCACTCCCTTGCAGAAATCTGCTCAATTCCACTCGAATCCTTCCAATTCTTAGGTATCCACAAAGTATTCATGCCCTTCGATCGCACGCACGGCGTGAAACGCCGTGCGTGCGCCACACATCTTGAACTCTAGCAAATTCTGTATACGCGTACCTCTTGCATAGGATTCCCATATAAAGGTACATAATCATACCGAATAGATTTCTCAATCTAGGATTGATAGTTGATCAAGGGATATGAGGAAATCGGTGCCTCTGAATTCGGCGTGCACCCCGTTTAAGGGTAAACTTCAGCTCGCACATACGCTCACGCGTGTAGACGAGGTGTCGCGTGTGGCTACTATTGGTAGGCGGAGGTGGGCGGTGTAGGAAAGCGGTAGGAGGAGGGAGTACCGTGTTCCAAATACTAATGAACGGCCACTGTAGGCTTATATCTTTAGATCTTCATTACTGAATATATAATTCACTATGTCCTGCTTTTACTCTTTCTGTTGGCAAGGGAAATTTGTGGCAAGATATATGATTATCAATTTATTTTTTCTCTCAGAAACGATACTAAGAGGAAAGTTTAACACATTATGTCAGAACAGGCAGATAGTATCGAGTAATATGCATGTTGGCGAATGAGATCAAGCGGAACCAGCATCAGATGAACAAGGTGGTTAATTCAGTCAAAATAGAAGATGCTGGGGGAGGTTGAAATACCCCTGAATGTTGATGGTACTTGGGATACGACAGCCAAGTTACCAGGAAAAACAAGTTACCGTACAGAACATAAGGAAATGGGGGTCAATCTGGTCTCCTCTTGTCGTAGCGATAAGTTACTGCTCCACTCTTTAACACATTATAATTATCTTGACTAAAGCTAAATCCTACTTTATTTATGAAATAATAGGACTATTCCTTTTCAACTATTGATTTTACTATTAAAAAGACCGTTGTACCAGGTAAAATTACCTAGATATTAAGGGAAAACATATAGTAGGAAGTATGTACCTCTTTATAGTAGGCTTTACAAAAGGTACCAGTGTTCAGGAAAAGTTAGTTCCGGATGTGTGGCGCACCCACAACGGGACCCAGTGTGGGTGTAGCCAATGGGCATGGATAAGGAAAAGCAGAGAAGCGATTCGCGTCCCCAAGGCTTGTGGAAGGTGTGACGAAGTCTTAGTTATTGAGTTTTCACTGTTGCATTCTACGATGAGAGCCTTGATTTTACTGGATTGTGTTGTCTGATATTCCGATGCCTCAAGCGTATCTTCCCCGAGCTTAGTTTCGGGAAAGCAAATATATTCATTCCTATTGGATCTCATCGTGCCCAAGATCGTCAGATCTCGGCTATAACTGCTAAACAGGTATGTAGACTGCGGCCTTTCACGGGGCAACGACAGTTGTATCGTCATTTGATGGTCCATCGCTTTTCTTGACACTCTTCCACTCCACAAACAAAGTTGTCACAAAGGCAGCCAGCATTAAAGCCAGGCTGACGCGGTAAGTGTCTCGCAATCCACTCATGTACGCCTTGATCACTCCATCCAGCTGATCGAGCTGGCCCAAACTTGCCAAGACGTGTCTCATCTCGGTAGCTCCTGCGTTGAGGATGACACTCGGGTCGACTTCGGGAGCGTATACGTAGATACCTGCTTGCAAGCCATTCTGGAACACAGACTGGCCCACCGCGATAAATATGGCGCCACCCAAAGTCTGCAGGAACATAACTGCGGCAGTTCCCACTGGAATATCCTCGGGCTTCAATACCGTCTGCACAGCTGTCATTGGGATCTGAAGACCCGCACCAATTCCTGCACCGACAACAATCTGGTAGCCGATCCATTTCGCCGTAGAAATATCAACATCGTATAAGGTGATCAGACCCGATCCGATAGCAGCAATAGCAGTGCTCCCAATCAAGAATGGTGTATAATAACCGGCTGCTGTCACCAAAGCACCAACTATGATAGATGAGACCACGGTGGCAAGCATGAACGGCAGAATCTGAAGTCCAGCAGTCATTGCAGTTGATCCTCTGACGCTTTGGAAGTAGATGGGAACATAGTAGACCAGAAGGAAGAAGCCGCCGCTGAAGAAGAATGCAAAAAGTCCAGCAGACCAGATGGTGCGTTTCTTGAGGATTGAGGGCGGCAAAGTTGCAGTTGTGCTCTTCTTACTAGGCGCAACTTTCTCGTCTTGCCGACTAATGTAGATCTGGGACACGGCAAAAAGAAGAATAAACAGTCCAAACCCAACAAAAAGTCCAATGATTTGAGAGCTGCCCCAGGCATAGGCATTTCCGCCCCATTGCAATGCGAGAATCAAGCATACGACAGCCGGTATGAGTAAGCTCGCACCGATCACGTCAAGTTCTTGAGCAATTCGAGAAAATGATAGCTTCCTATGCTGATTGTTGCTCGGTAGGCGAAGGACCAGCAGAACAACCACCATAGAAATTCCGCCCACTGGGAGGTTGATATAGAAACACCATCTCCAAGACTGACCATCAGTAAACGCTCCACCAAGCAGGGGACCGACGATTGAAGAAACACCCCAAACAACGCCATAGACACCAAAAACTAGCGGCCTCTTTGGCAGAGGCACAGTCATGGAGATGATTACCAAAGCGCCGGAAAAGATCCCTGCAACTCCGATTCCTGCTATTGCACGACCGATGATCAAGACTGTGCTGGAAGGCGCAACACCGCAAATCAGTGATCCGATTTCAAAGATGCCGACAGCCACTAAGAATGACCATTTCACCTGAGACAGGTCAGAAGGGTCTTTTGATGGTGGACAAAAGCAAGGAGAGGATTTCAAGAGCATGAACTTTTGACTGGCAGTGGGGAGACTTACATTGAGAATCTTATATATTCTGCCATATGACGGCTGTAGAGCGGTTGAAGTCAAAAAGTAAGCGCTGCCATACCAGGCAATATCTGGAATGCTCTTGAATCGGTCGGTAATCTTTGGAATAGCTACTCCGATGATAGTCTGATCAAGTGCTACCAGAAAGGCAGCCAGGTAGATTGCCAGAACAATGATAATAACCTGCCCGAGGGGAGGAAACTGTGCCTTTTGGTTGGAGTCTTGATATTCAATACTGGCAGGGTCGATATTCACCTGCGGAGCAGTTCTCTCCCCACTGGCTTCGAGGCCTGGAGGATTGGGATCTTCACTCATGACGGAACACGTACTTGAAGCCAAAGAAGGGTTCAGCAGCGACATTAATCAGCGAGATTGTGCCCCGATTCTGAATAATTAAGATGAGAGCACGCAGGGGCTGATTGCTTCTCGATTAAACCCGTTTCATCAGGTACAACAGAGACTGAGAAAACAAAAAAAGATATATGTTATCTCCTCCACCGAACGAGCTCGGCTATGCAAAGTAAAAGGACCCGTTTCCAGCGTCCTATGAACTTTATGAGACCTCGCTACCGATAATGATAAGTCCGAATTTGGAGGAAGAACTAAAATATGACAATTACCTCAAAAATGCTCTCCTAAAGCGAAAGGTGAAAACGTCGAAAGTTTTTCTTTGCTTTGGGCTGCTGATTCTTCCACGACTCTCGTTAGCCTCGCCACAAAATCTATCCACCTTCCTTTACGCCACCAATCTTCTGCAGGTAAGAAACGGTTAGCGTGGGCCTGTATAATTTCGTGAACAGAAAATAGATCGTAGCAACGTTACACACTGAAAGACTAACCACCACTCGGCCCTCCGAAACTCCCGAAGCTGATTGATCGGATTGTCCATCGCCAGTCCCCCATAATTCACTATCGGCACGGGCCTTTGAAACTTAATCAACATAGATGCTTCACTAACCTACTTCGGCTCTGGATGGTGGGTCTAAACAATTCCCCAAAAATTTATTCCGGAAAAAACTGCCCAGCCCTTCCACAAATTACAACAAATAGCCTCAAATACACTCGTCGTTGATTTCAAGAACGTTCCAACTCGTATTGAAGTCCGAAGTCTGAGTCAGTTTTCACGATGACTGCCTTGGCTGTCCGAAGTACCACGTGGATATGCAAAATCGGAACGTGGGACTCCATACAACACATGGCTTTCCTTTTTGAGATTTGGTCCCTGCAGCATTAATGCTCAAACAAGACGGACCATAAATTCCCGAGTGATTCCACCAAACCTGAGTTGCTCTGCTGCTGCTCATCGCATCGTACCTCTCTGTTGTACCACGACTGCACCGTTTGGGACCAGTCAGGTTGCAGATATACTCTTCCCAGGCGCTGGGAACATTGATAAAGCATGGCGTCACTTCACTTTGATTCTGACCGACTTGAATCCGAGGCGACATGCTTAACAGCGGAAGTCCTTGATACGCCTGCCATTAACTGTGCGCGATATTCAAGTGACGTGGAAATATTATCTCAGCGAATCTTGGATGTCTTTCTAAAATATACACTCAACAAGTTTGAATATGCACCGGACCATCTGGATGGCAATGGAGAAGTCTTCCTTTCTGTGATAGGCCGATTTGTTGCCCAAGATGCCCGTGTACAAGCTTGTCTTCCTGCGTTCCCCTTCAAGTCAGCGAACAAGGTGTACAAAGTGCTTGGAAGCTTGCCAGACAAAGCGGAGGAGCTCGCACTTGATCGATTGAACACTCTTTGCAATTCTATCCAGGAATTTTATGCTCCGGGTGCCGAGATTGTGGTTATATCGGACGGTATCACCTACAATGGTAGGTGATAATTTCATTGGCATTTGTTTTTGTCCAATCTCTGACAGTTTCATTGTCGACTATAGACCTGTTGTGTATTCCGGACAAAGAAACCTGGGAATATGGGGAAGTCCTACGAAGCATGGCTATCGAGAAAGGATTTGACAAAATTTCATTTTCGCGAATCCGAGACCTTCTTGATATATCTCTCCCCGACAATCTGACTGAGGTCGTCTATGTGGCTAACTGTACGAACTTTCGTCGCTTGCTCTTGAACCAATATGGGAAGGACAATCTCGACATCGACGAGGAAATCACCAAGAACGCAGATACAAAACTGACGTATCTTGGCTATAAGCGTTTTTTGGAATCGGATTTGCAGCACATCTTTCCTCGAGGGAAGCGTCGCTCTGCCCACAGTTACAAGCGGGATTGCAAATATCTGGCGAAACAAATGCTTATAAGAGGATATGTACGTATTATTAAGCCCCCGATATTCCATTTGGAGGACCTCGCGACTGACTTGAAGGAATAGGCCTTTGCCCGGGCCGTCAAACACGCCTTCCCACACCATCTGCGTCTTTCAATCCACGAGTCTATCAGTGGAAACAAAATCCCTATTAGTCTGCTGAATACGAAGACAGGCTACACTACCCCATGGCATTGTTCTGTGGCTCAACTTGCGGATGGGGAGTGGGTTAGTGCTCCGATGGGCGAGTTTAGTCAGGATACTCGGTTAAATTTGGTTCATGTCGATGGGGCCCCCAGTCACTACAGGGAGAAATTGTCCAAAGGGGAGCATACTCCCATCAGCGAGACGACGGCAAGCTACCTCCAGCCCACTAAATCCATCAAGGCCACTGAGTATGTCAATAGTGCATTCAAGGATGCATCATCACTCGCATTCTCTTCTAGCGAGTGTTCCGTCTCGTCATCTGACGGCAAATACGCTGACAGCCGTTTCACTACCCCGGAAGTCCCAGTAACATCGGATATTTTGGCTGCACAGTCTGGCCTGGGGATCGAGAAATCTTCAAAGCCTGGAGTTTCGCAATCACCGCTGGTGACAAAAACTGGGGTATCAACGGAATACGGTAGAAGGCTTATCCCCCAGATAATGGATGACCTTGCTTCTTCCCAGCCGGAAAGAACCGTTTTTTCTCTTACATCACTCTCAGATGGCCTTCTAAAACTTAACCCAATTTCTGCCCAACAATTCACCAGAGCAGTGGATAAGACTGCCTGGTGGCTTCGCGATCAGGTTGGCATCCCCGATTCAGTTCAGCCCATGGCTTATATTGGACCACGTATGTTTTGAATTACTACAAAGAAACCCAATTTGACTTCTCATCTCGGCTTCTGACGGCACTATTTGGTTAAGATGATCTCAGGCATGTTCTTTTGACATATGCGTGTGTGAAAGCGGGCTATTCGGTATGTTCTCAACCAGGTCAACATTATCACGATGTCGTGAATGCACCGATTCTAAGTATTTCACTTACTACAGGCTCTTTTTCTATCTCCAAAAAACAATGCGGACGGAATATTGGCCGTCCTCAACAAATTGGACTGCAATATTTGGGTCAATGCAATTGACGCATCGCCGGTCCGCGTGGTCAAGGAGGTTTTGGAGGAGCGGCCTATGAAGTATTTGCAGCTTCCTACGCTCGACTTGCTTCTTGATTCTGTGTCTACTGAAGCTTTCCCGTACACAAAGACCTTTGACGAGGCCATGAATGATCCATTCTGCTACTTGCATACGTCTGGAAGCACTGGATTGCCCAAGCCCATTCCTTGGTCACATGGGCTCATTGGCACTATGGATGCAGTCCGACTGCTGCCACCCGTGGGTGAAAATGCCGATTTAGTTCCTTGGACTTCAGACTGGAATGAAGGGGACAAAATATACTCATCTTTCCCAATGAGTCATGTAAGTCAACTCCTCCTGTATCCATGTTTCTGGGACTTAGAATGATGAGGAAAGTGTTCTTAGCTGACTGTATCACTTACAGGGCGCTGGAATCATTATGAATATTTTGATGCCTGCACTATTCAACCTCCACTGCATCTTGGGACCAGTTGGTGTATTACCAAATCTGAATCTAATGGAAAGGTTAGCTGTAGATGTGAATATCGATATCTGGAGTATGGTCCCTTCACTCGTCGATGAACTGGGCGAAACCCCTGAAATTCTGGAGCATCTTCGTCCTAGCAAGTTCATCTGTGCATCTGGAGGCCCTGTTAGCCCAGCCAGCGCTGGCAAGGTGAATGAGGTTGTCATGGTCCTTAATTTGACGGGTACAACTGAAGGCCTCTTCATTGGGAATTTGAAACCCGAGAGAGAAGACTGGTTCTGGTTCTGCTTCCACCCCTACTCTGGCTTTGAATTTAAGGAGCTCGAAACCGATGTCTATGAGCACTGGATACATCGCAACGAGCACTGGGCTCTTTTCCAAGGGATTTTCCACACATTCCCGGATCAAAACTCAATCAATTTCAAGGACCTTTACATGCGGCACCCTACCAAGCCCAACCTGTGGGCCTTCAAGGGAAGAAGCGATGATCTTGTGGTCTTATCGAATGGGTATAAGATATCGCCACTTGAGACAGAGGCATTTATCACTACTCACCCCGACATCAGGGGCTGCCTGATTTTTGGAACTGGAAAGCCACAAGCCGGCCTACTCATTGAGTTGAATGATTCTTCCAACAAATCACCTGAGCTTATCGACAGTATTTGGGCAAATGTCCAGACAGCCAATACTATGTCCCGGCACAAGAACCAGCTACTCAAGGATTTCATCACGTTTGCACTCCCCGAACAGCCCTTCTTGCGAACAGACAAGAGAACGATCAAACGATCTGCTACACTGGCATTGTACTCTGATTACATTGAGCGATACTACAGTTCGCGAAATGATGATGTCGATCAAGTTGTGACTTTCGATATAAACTCGCGTGAAGCATCCGAGGGCTCCATACGAAACATTCTTGGCAGCTTTCTTTCGGAAGCCCAGAGCGCGCTTCCAGAAACAGACTTGTTTTCTGTTGGACTTGACTCTCTCGGCGTTTTCGCGGCTGTTAAAACGATCCGGGCAGCCACAGGCTTGGGTGACAAAATATCACCTCGTCACGTCTACGCCAACCCGACGATTATGAAACTTGCTGCGACAGTTTCTGTTCTGATCGAAGAGGCAAAGAATGCAGAATCCGAGGAGTTGAACGAAAAGGGTTCAAATTACGCTGCACCTCTAATGAACAATTTGATCGCTCAGCATAAAGCAAGACAATCCTTCCGCTTAAACGCCTTCGATTACGTCAACCCAAATCATGGCATGGGCATCATGCTGTACTTTTCCATTCACGAGGAAATTTCTTACGAGCAAGTGTTTCAGAATCTCCAAGAAGGGCTCAATCGGACATTTGACATGATACCTGCTCTCAGTGGAAAAATGATGCATTGCAGCGAACAGGAAATTGGATATAAAAAGGGAGATCTTT